GAGAAGAATAGGTAGTAAATCTTCTTTGAATGTTTGGTAGAATTCACTGGTGAAGCCATCTGGTCCTGGACTTTTCCATTTGGGAGGTTTTTGATGATTGTTTCAATTTCCATCCTGCTAATCAGTCTCTTTAGATTTTCAAAGTTCTTCTTGGGTCTAGGAAGGTTATATCTTTCTAAGTACTGGTACATTTCTTCTAGGTTATTAAATTTGGTGTTTTATACCTTTTCATAGTATTCTTGAATGATCCTTTGTATTTCTGCGGTGTCTGTCGTAATTTAGCCTCTTTTCTCCCTGATTTTGTTTATTTGTGTCTTTTCTCTTTTTTCTTTAGTGAGTCCAGCCAGGAGTTTATCAATTTTATTAACCTTCTCAAAGAACCAGCTCTTTGTAGCATTTTATTTATTTATTTATTTGTTTGTTCGTTTGTTTTCAATTTCATTTGTTTCTGCTCTAATTTTGATTATTTCTGCCCTGCTGACTTTAGGCTTAATTTGTTCTTCCTTTTCTGAAACCTGAGTTTTATAACAGCAGAATGTCATTTGAATAAAGGCCCCAAATTTTTGTGGTAACTAGGATACCATACCTCTTAGATTATTTTAAACATGAAAAAAGCAACAACTAAATTTGATTCTTTATTTTTCACATGCAAAAGGCAATAGTCAGTGTCTTTGTACTCAGGAAATCTGCTCTTAAAATGTAGGAATATTTGAATGAAATATTAGGAAATTGAATAGAAAAATAGGTTTGGTCTTGAGGAATAGAGGAAACACTTTTTAAAAGTGCAGTGCTTGATTTTTGAAGATACCTCTGAATTCTGGGATAAATTTGACATTAGGAAGATTTGAAATAATGCTCTCTGATTTTTAATTAAAAGAAACTGACTCCTGAGGATGTGAAAATCTTATTATATCATGGTTTTTAAGATGGAAGGGTTTAAGGGAATGAGAGTTGCTGTGTTGCTGGGACTAGAGGCTATCTCAAAATAGTTCTGATTTTGAGACTCTGGACTCTGAAGAGCACAGATGTTGAGGTTTCTCATTCTAATTTAATAGATCAGAAAGCAAAGACTTAAAATTCTGTAGAGAACCCTCTTTTCTTCTTTTTAAGTTTAATTCCTGAGGTTTAACCTGAGGTTTCTTAAAATCACAATAGACAGTACTCCAAAATACCTGAATATGTCCTTTAACTAAAAATAGTTAGTCGCTAAAATTTGTTTTTCTGTCATAAAACTTTCTGAACTGTTTTTAGTTCATTTACAAAACTTTTGATTTATTTCTTATTTTTCAATTATAATTAACATGCAATATTATATTAGTTTCAGGTGTACAGCATAGTTATTAGAAGTTTGTGTACCTTACAGAGTGATAACCCTACTAATTTAGTACCTATCTGGCATTGGTTGATTTGTTTTTAACTAAAAGCAGTTCTCAAAGCAGACCCTCTGCACTGAATTAATGATCATAAGCATGAATCCTAAATTCATTTGAATAAAGCTCTTGGAAAAAATAGAGCTGTTCATATTTTATTACTAGGATGGAAACTTGGAGTGGATTGAATTTTTATTTGGGAAGAATACTAGAAAATTGCTAAACTCAACCAATTTCCAGTGGAGATTTTTTTTTTTTCAGTGATGAGTGATAGAAGAGGATCAGAAGACCTGAGTTTGAGTCCTTACTTTACAGTTTACTCCTGAGTGATCTTAGGTGGTTACCCTTAGCTCAAGTCGGACTTTTCTCTAGTGCATGTGTTCACTCCCACTCCTGGAACTTCAGTGTCCTTACCTGTAAAATGGAAGCAGAATACCATACTATATTGTACCATTGTGTGTTAAATGTCACTGATGAGATTGTGTGCATGCATGCAATCTTTATGGAGGCAGAAGAAAGGTCAGCAGCTACTGCTGGTAGTCAGCACTAAAGTCAGGTGATTTTTTTTTTTTTTTTTATGAATCTGTTTTGAAATTGGAGTTTGAATTGAGCCTACTTTAACTGTAATGTATTAGTGGTCTTTTGCAGCGAATGACTTTAGAAAAACATTTGCCTTGCTAGAGATGACTGCTTTGACTCATAAGTGGTCCTGTCAGGTATAAGGTTGTTGCCTTAGGTCATTTATTACTTTGCAGCATGTAGGTTGGATCAGCTGTGACTATGGGAAGAATTAGCTAGCAAATTAAGCCTAAAGTCAGCAGGGCAGAAATAATCAATTAGCTAGGAGACTTTCATTGTGGCAGTGGCGAAGGTAGGTAGAACTGGAAACTCAGAAAAGGCATGAGCTCAGGTGACTGGAATTAGTTGAAAATGCTTCTGAATAGACTTATTTTTCCTGTTGTTTCCTGCTAGCTTTTTAAAAGAATGCTGTGGGGGGCTTTGGAACATAATGGTCATAGCGAACTCAGAGAATTCAAATAGAAGAACATCTTTTTCTCCATGTTTCTTTTATTTTAAATTTGTGTGTCCCCTCACCCCTCTGTGGGAGACTGTGTATGGTGGGGTGCCGGGAACAGGGCTATATAAGTACTGTCTGTACTTTCTGCTCATTTTTGCTCTGAACCTTAAACTACTATAAAAAATAAAGTTAATTAAAAAAAAGTCAAAATAAAAGAAAACAAAGAGTAATATGCCACAGAGACTGTATGTGGCCTACAGATAAAAAATAAAAAATATTTATTATCTGGCCTTTTACAGAAAAAAATTTTCCAAGCCTTGGATTATATTGCAGTCGAACTAGGAAGTGAGGTGCTTAGTTTCTGGTGTCATACCAGTCCCTTGGTCTCCTGGTACTCAGTGTCTCTAATGGCAAAGTTCTCACGAATTTCTGTTTCATTTGCAGGTATATGAGTGACCTAAAGCTGCAAATTAAAACGGAGAGAGAGCAGTGCCAACTGCGCACAGGGCAAGGATGCCAATTCCTCCTCCCCCTCCGCCCCCACCTGGTCCTCCTCCACCTCCCACTTTTAATCAGGTAGGCAATCCTTCCACCTGGCTATCTCAAACCTTAATGGGTACTTAGGGCTTCCTGGTATAAGATATAGCATACTCAAAGATATGTGGTGCAGGAAGATGGAGAATAAAAAGTAACGTCTGTCCTTATCAACTAGTTCTGGTTCCTGAGAGTCCCCTTAGGCTTAGGACTATAATGGTTTATCTTGTTTTCTTGTCCTGATTAAGTCTAAATGGAGATGTGGACAAGTAGCATCAGAGTAGGAACTAGTGTTTCTTCCCTATTCTATAAAGGTCTGCATCATTTCTCTGGCATTCTTGAAAAAAGGGATGGCAGTTTCTGGTGGTTATTTCTTGCTACAATTTCATCTCCTCTTCTCCAAATCAGGTCATTTTAAAATATCAAGTCTAATATCGCAGAAAGAAAGAAAGAAGTTTCTGGAATGCATTTGTAAGAAAACTTAAATGTTTGATAATGGGATTTTAAAAAGCAGTTGTAGCTTCTGACCCATGGAGGCAGCCTCTTTTATTACATCTGGATTGCGATTTCTGGTATCATGTGAGAAAGAAGCAACCTGGGTGCTTTATCACATTTTTGTAAAATTTAGAAGCAAAAATAACTGTAGAGAATGAATAGCCCAGAGGTGGTGTGCGCGCACGTGTGTGTGTGTGTGTGTGTGTGTGTGTGTGTACGGTGTTTAACAGATGAGAAGTTGTGCTAAAAGAGGAAAAAATGACTTGCCTAGCTAATTTATTTCTGAATTAAGAGTAGAATTCAGGTCTGCCAGCTTGTTTGTCCCCCATAACTTCTGGTTTTCAGATGTTTTGTTTGAGGATATGTGTGAATCCCTTTTTTGGATGAAATTTTATGTGGAAGTCCAGTAAGTGAAGTAGATAAAATCAGAGCTGCTCTGGTTATAGTGGGATTCTGGGACCCAAAGTAAATCCTTGGATCTCTATGACCTCTTGTATTATTGCCCTGCATTGTGCTGTCTTTGGCATTTACTCAGTAGCCTTTTGTTGGGAGCTTACTGTGTGTCAGGGACTTGGCTAGGCATACAATTTAGAAAATCCCCATAATTTTACTCTGTAGTTATATATTGCTTGACTATTCTACAACAAGAACTAATTTATATAATTAAAGAAAGGGAGGGAAAATATGCAGATAAGCAAAAAGAAACAAATAAAAATCATCTGTAATACCATTGCCCATAAATGAGACAGTTTCTGCCTTCTAGGGCTCCTAGCATAATGGCTGAGACAGACAAGTCAATGGGCAAATTCTGTGCTATGCACAGATAAATGAGGCCACAAAGAAGGGCAGGGAGAGGAGGCAATCAGAGGAGGCTTCTTGTGGGGAGGTGATAACTTGAGCTTAGTCTTAAAGCATGAGTAGGGTTTAGCCAAAAAGAGAAGAAGGATGGGGAGTACACTTAAAATTGAAGAAGCAGAATGTGGAAGGGTGCCGATTTGTGAGAAAGCACACAGAAGTTTAGATTATTGTTTGAGAAGGGGGCATGGTGGGAGGTGAAGCAGGAAGTGTAGGCTGAGGGTTTGGATTTTTCTCCCAGTGGTGATGGGGAGATGTTGAAGTATTTTCAGGAGCAGGAGTAACCTAATTAGGTTTGTATTAGAAAGGTCACTCTTAACAGTGTGGACAGTGAGTTGGGAGTTGAAACTGGAGATAGAAGCCTTTGCAATTGAAAACCGAGGGTCTGGACTAAAGCAATGAAGATGGATAGTGGAGATGAGAGACACTTTGAAAATAAAATCTTAAGGGTTTGATGACAGAAGGAAGAGTGAGGAGGAGGAAGATTTGAATGACTCTCGTTTGGGAGATTGAATGGTGCTATTTCAAGAAAAATTTTCTCTTGTAAATAGCGCCCAAGTGTATCCATTCCTTCCCAAGTGCAGAATGATGGTGCCATTTGTGGAGAAGACAATAAGTTCAGTTTTGAATGTGTTTAGTAATATTTTAGTAATAATTTTCTCTTTATAAAAGTAATATATTCAAGACATTTGTGAACTGTGGATAAGCTAAAAGGAGCAATTGCCCGTAATCTAATGATTCATAACGGTTTTCTTATATCCTTACCCTTCCTCCTTCCCTCCCTTTGTATCAATATTCTTTTTAAAAAATAAGTTTGTGCTTTATATACATATTGATTTCTAATCTGCTCTTCTTACTCATTAATACATCATGAATGGCTTGTTATATCATTAAATGGTTAGTGATATCATTAAACATTTTTTTTACTGTACTAAAAATGTGGAAAAAATTAGAGAATGCCAATAAACATGGAAAATGTTAAAGTATCTGTAATTAACCTTTGTTAACATATTGTATATTTTATATCTTTATTGTAGGAAAACTGGAAAATACAGATAAATATAAATAATTATTACTCAAAGTTAACTTTTGCTAGTATCAGTGTATATCCTTCCATAAATTTTCTGTACGTGTGCACCTTTTTTTTTCCAAATGTCATTTAGTTACTCTTTATTGAGCTTTTATTATACTTGGCATTGCGCTAAGCTCTTGAAATTTTCTGGTATCATGTGAGAAAGAAGCAACCTGGGTGCTTTATCACATTTTTGTAAAATTTAGAAGCAAAAATAACTGTAGAGAATGAATAGCCCAGAGGTGATGTGCACGCACGTGTGTGTGTGTGTGTGTGTGTACGGTGTTTAACAGATGAGAAGTTGTGCTATAAAGAGGAAAAATGACTTGCCTAGCTAATTTATTTCTGAATTAAGAGTAGAATTCAGGTCTGCCAGCTTGTTTGTCCCCCATAACTTCTAGTTTTCAGATGTTTTGTTTGAGGATATGTGTGAATCCCTTTTTTGGATGAAATTTTATGTGGAAGTCCAGTAAGTGAAGTAGATAAAATCAGAGCTGCTCTGGTTATAGTGGGATTCTGGGACCCAAAGTAAATCCTTGGATCTCTATGACCTCTTGTATTATTGCCCTGCATTGTGCTGTCTTTGGCATTTACTCAGTAGCCTTTTGTTGGGAGCTTACTGTGTGTCAGGGACTTGGCTAGGCATACAATTTAGAAAATCCCCATAATTTTACTCTGTAGTTATATATTGCTTGACTATTCTACAACAAGAACTAATTTATATAATTAAAGAAAGGGAGGGAAAATATGCAGATAAGCAAAAAGAAACAAATAAAAATCATCTGTAATACCATTGCCCATAAATGAGACAGTTTCTGCCTTCTAGGGCTCCTAGCATAATGGCTGAGACAGACAAGTCAATGGGCAAATTCTGTGCTATGCACAGATAAATGAGGCCACAAAGAAGGGCAGGGAGAGGAGGCAATCAGAGGAGGCTTCTTGTGGGGAGGTGATAACTTGAGCTTAGTCTTAAAGCATGAGTAGGGTTTAGCCAAAAAGAGAAGAAGGATGGGGAGTACACTTAAAATTGAAGAAGCAGAATGTGGAAGGGTGCCGATTTGTGAGAAAGCACACAGAAGTTTAGATTATTGTTTGAGAAGGGGGCATGGTGGGAGGTGAAGCAGGAAGTGTAGGCTGAGGGTTTGGATTTTTCTCCCAGTGGTGATGGGGAGATGTTGAAGTATTTTCAGGAGCAGGAGTAACCTAATTAGGTTTGTATTAGAAAGGTCACTCTTAACAGTGTGGACAGTGAGTTGGGAGTTGAAACTGGAGATAGAAGCCTTTGCAATTGAAAACCGAGGGTCTGGACTAAAGCAATGAAGATGGATAGTGGAGATGAGAGACACTTTGAAAATAAAATCTTAAGGGTTTGATGACAGAAGGAAGAGTGAGGAGGAGGAAGATTTGAATGACTCTCGTTTGGGAGATTGAATGGTGCTATTTCAAGAAAAATTTTCTCTTGTAAATAGCGCCCAAGTGTATCCATTCCTTCCCAAGTGCAGAATGATGGTGCCATTTGTGGAGAAGACAATAAGTTCAGTTTTGAATGTGTTTAGTAATATTTTAGTAATAATTTTCTCTTTATAAAAGTAATATATTCAAGACATTTGTGAACTGTGGATAAGCTAAAAGGAGCAATTGCCCGTAATCTAATGATTCATAACGGTTTTCTTATATCCTTACCCTTCCTCCTTCCCTCCCTTTGTATCAATATTCTTTTTAAAAAATAAGTTTGTGCTTTATATACATATTGATTTCTAATCTGCTCTTCTTACTCATTAATACATCATGAATGGCTTGTTATATCATTAAATGGTTAGTGATATCATTAAACATTTTTTTTACTGTACTAAAAATGTGGAAAAAATTAGAGAATGCCAATAAACATGGAAAATGTTAAAGTATCTGTAATTAACCTTTGTTAACATATTGTATATTTTATATCTTTATTGTAGGAAAACTGGAAAATACAGATAAATATAAATAATTATTACTCAAAGTTAACTTTTGCTAGTATCAGTGTATATCCTTCCATAAATTTTCTGTACGTGTGCACCTTTTTTTTTCCAAATGTCATTTAGTTACTCTTTATTGAGCTTTTATTATACTTGGCATTGCGCTAAGCTCTTGAAAATTGTTATTCTCAAAACTACCCTGTGAGGATAGGTTCTGTTGTTACTCCTGTTATATAGAAGAGAAAACGGGAATAATGCTATATTTATCGTTTTATAATATTTTTTTCTTGACTGTGGCAAACATTTACTGCCATGAAAAGATATTTATTTCTACATATTTAAGAGCTTAAAATGGCATTTCATTGTATTGTTATTATTCTTTTTGGTTGAACTTTCAGATTATTTTCAGTTTTATGCTATTATAAGTCATTTTTTGCTATATTATTAACATCTTTTTGCACTTCTTCAATTATTTTCTTAAAGTTAATTCTTAGAAATAGAATTCTTGTGCTAGACTTTAAATTGGTGTTTAATGCATAAATTACTGTCTAGAAAGAGCATACCAGTTTATCTTACTGCAGATATACAAAGGAGTTCCTGTTTCCCTGAATCCTTATGACTCCCATAGGGCAGTTATTTATTCTGCACATTTTTTGAACATCTACAATGTGCCAGGCACTGTACAACACTACTCACTGTGGTCCCTGCCTTCACGAAGCTAGTGGTCTCTTTAGTTATAATTTTAACTTTTACCGGTTCCATATGTAAATAATGGTACTGTGTTTACCCTTTATTTCTTTTATTGCAGTTGAAATTTATTTTTTCATATTTGTTGGCTCTTTGATTTCTTTTACACAGTGTTGTTCATATCCTTTGCTTATTATCTTACTGATTTCGAATTAATTTCTACATCATCTTTATATGTTAATGCTTTATAAATTTAGGACACTACTTTTGTGTCTGTCATGTATTACATTTGTCACAGAAGGTTTTTCCTTCCAGTACATCATATACTTCTTTACTTACATTTCTAAGTAAATAATTTGTAATATGCAAGACTGTCAATCTTTTCCTGTATTTTAGTTATCATGCTTGGAAAGTCTTTTCCATAGCTATTTTTCCATATAGTATTTCTATGGTTTTATTTTTTTTACACTTAAATTTTATAATTCAGATAGAATTTGTTTGAGAGTAAGCTGTGAGGTAGGTATTTAACTATTATTTTTTTCCCCAAAATTACCAGTTGTTACTAACATCTTGTATTTTAACAATCTATCCTTTCTGATGAAATACACTTTTATTATTTCTCATATAGATCTGGGCCCGCCAATGGACTTTCTGTTTTGTTCCATTTATCTGCGCTCCTGTTGTAGTTACAGGAATGTTTTAAGATTTAAACGAGATAATGAAAGTAATGTGCTTAGCACAATGCCTGAGGCATAGCAGGGGCTTAATAAATGTTTGCCTTGATGATATATGTAAAGCGTCTGACACAAAAGCCTAGTGCATAAGTACTCAGTAAATATTAGGCTTCAATCAGAAGTTTCTGAATACTGCTGTTTGGCACAGATGCCTGATTAGGTTAGACAGACATCTCATGGAATCCAGTTTGGCTTAAGACATTTATCCCAAACATGTGATGAATGGGACTATTTGGGGTGAACTTACATACCCCTCTTCTTCCAGGCAAACACAGAGCATCCCAAGCTGAGTAGAGATGAGCAGCGGGGTCGAGGCGCCCTCTTACAGGACATCTGCAAAGGGACCAAGCTGAAGAAGGTGACCAACAGTAATGATCGGAGTGCACCCATCCTCGAGAGTGAGTCTCAGCTTCATTTCCTAGTTAACCACCAGGATCCTAGGATTGACTTGGAGACTTGGCTGGGCTGTCATTTTTATTGTTGAGTCTTGAGTGGGAGAGTTTTGTTCTGGGACGTTCTTTGGCTGTCTTCCCATCTGTTTATTTGAATACCTGAGAAACTTCTTTTTGACCTTTGAGAAGCATTCTGAGGGTTAAGGCTCCCATCTCCTGCTGTCACTAGTGCTTGTTAGGGCACATCCTTGGCTGTTCTCTGAGGAGACCACCACATTTTGAAAAACTACTCAGCTGAAGCCAATGATGATTTTGTAATTGCCACAAGTGTCCATTCTGAAAGGCTTCTGGAGAGTTTGTGCACATCTGGGTCCCTCAGCCCCTTACCATCTGGGGCTATGACAGGAGAGCCCAGATAACTCTGTTGAACATGTCTTTCTCCAGGTTGTCCCTCTGGCCTAAATAAGGGAAGATTGGCCTTTTATTCCTTTTATTCTTTTCCTTTAATCACAGCAAAGAATTTCATCCTTACATGAAGCTGTGGAGCAGAGAGGCCTAGCTTTTCTTTTTTAATTGTTTCTTTTTTTTAATGGAAAGGCAAAAGCAATGATTGTTTGCAAATTAGAGCCCAGATAGAGCAGGACTTTCTCCTCAGGATTGAGGTGGTCACCTGCTTGGGGCATACGAAATGAAAGCCCTAATGGTTTGCTTTCCAGAACCCAAAGGAAGCAGTGGTGGTTATGGCTGTGGAGCAGCTGCCCTGCAGCCCAAGGGAGGTCTCTTCCAAGGAGGAGTGCCGAAGCTCCGACCTGTGGGAGCCAAGGATGTTTCAGGTATCTGATAGTCCTTTCTTAGGTTATTTCCCAAGTGCATTAGTTTCTGATGGGTTGCTGGTGGTCCATCTGGGGTTGAGGAGTGCGATAGAAGTAGAAGGAAGGAAAAGTGGGAGCAGGAGAGGAATTATAGAGTAGAAGAAAGCAAAGCCATTAAATAAAAATGTTTTCAGCTTATATCAGTCTTATTATGGGTCCTGAGCCAGATAAAACCCAGTCTTATTCAAATACTTGCCCTGCTGCTGTGCAAGTTGCACTCATGAGGCTGGGTGAAATAGTGATACTGACCAACTGTTGACCCGGTGCTGTCTGGTATATTTGTAGAGAACCTAGCTGGTAAGCCAGCCCTGCAAGTCCCTAGTTCTCGAGCTGCTGCTCCAAGGCCTCCAGTGTCTGCAGCCGGCGGGCGCCCTCAAGATGATACAGACAGCAGCCGAGCATCACTCCCAGAGCTGCCCCGGATGCAGAGACCTTCATTACCGGACCTCTCTCGGCCTAATACCACCAGCAGTACGGGCATGAAGCACAGCTCCTCTGCCCCTCCTCCGCCACCCCCAGGGCGGCGTGCCAACGCACCCCCTACACCTCTGCCTATGCACAGCAACAAAGTCCCAGCCTACAACAGAGAGAAACCCTTGCCACCCACACCTGGACAGAGGCTTCACCCTGGTCGAGAGGGACCTCCTGCTCCACCCCCAGTCAAACCACCTCCTTCCCCTGTGAATATCAGAACGGGACCAAGTGGCCAGTCTCTGGCTCCTCCTCCTCCGCCTTACCGCCAGCCTCCAGGGGTCCCCAATGGACCCTCTAGTCCCACGAATGAGTCAGCCCCTGAGCTGCCACAGAGACACAATTCTTTGCATAGGAAGACACCAGGGCCTGTCAGAGGCCTAGCACCTCCTCCACCCACCTCAGCCTCCCCTTCTTTACAGAGTAACAGGCCACCTCCCCCAGCCCGAGACCCTCCCAGTCGGGGAGCAGGTAAGTGCCTGGGAGCACCGAATTTTCCTACCATATCGAGAGTTGAGCTTATCTTTTCATTCTACTCCCCAAGGCTCCACGTCAGTGATTGTAGAAAATAAGAATTCACTTATTCAACAGGTTTATTGAATGCCTTTTTATGTGTCAGACTCTATTGTTAGGGAAACAGCAGTAAATAGAAAATATAAGAAATTCCTGTTCTCCTGGACAGTCAAGAAAATAAATTAGTAAAAAAGAAGTGTGTGTGTGTGTGTGTGTGTGTGTGTGCGCGCGCGCGCGCGCGCGCGTGTACGTGTACGTGTACAGACATAAACACACACACAGTATGCAGATGCTTTAGAGGAATACAAAGTAGAGAAGAGGGATAGGACATACTGGTGGGAGTGGGGTGATGATATTTCCAGTTACAGGGGCCGGGGGTGAGATTAGGGTTAGGGAAGGCCTTACTGATAAAGTGACAGTTTAGCAAAGATCTGAAGAAAGTGAGGGAATACACTAAGCAGGCACTGAGAACAGCAGCTGCAAAGACCCTGAGATGGGGGACGGACAGCAAGGAGGCCATTGTGGCAGGACTAGAATGAGTGAGGGGAAGAGTGCCAGGACATGGAGGCCAGAAAGCTAGATTTCCACATTGTAGGGCTTTGTAAAGACTTTGGGTTTTATCGCATTGGGAGCCACTAGAGGGGTTGGAACAGAGAAGTTGCATTGTTTTATCTTTTAAAAAGATCAGCTCCTATGTTGAGAACAGACTACGGGAGGACAAAGGTGGTGAAAGGAGATCACTTATGAAGCTGTTGCAATAAACTGGGCACATGGGTAGGACCACAGCAGTTTTGGGGGAAGATGGGTATTCAGTTTTGGACAAGTCAAGTTTGAGATGCCTAATAGACATTGAAGAGTAAATAACAAATTGATGACTGGGTATGAGACTCTGAAGTTCAGGGGAGAGGTGTGGGCTGGAGAGAGACATTTGAATGATTTTGAAAACTACATGAGGTCTGAGGCCTGAGGCCCTCCTACATTAGAAGTTAGAGAAATGAAGAGTACCAAGCAGAGGAA